ACATCTGCCCTCATGTCTTTGAGTTACATATCATGAAAAGTCTTTACCGCACACACATCAGATAGAGCATTAATCTCCAGGATATTTAAAGAACTCAAAAAATTTCTTGAGTGACTTCTTGGCTCTCTGGGACTTAGATATTCCAAAAACTCATCACCATCCAAGCTCCCCACAGCTGCCAAAGCATCTTCAGGACAGGACAGAGCAAAACCTAGACGTTCTGGTGTGGACCACATAGGATGGGGCGGCTTCCTCATGCTTAGTTCCTTACATGAAGCCTGGATATTAGAGGGGGTCACCTCCCACGAGGCTCCTTGGCTAGCTGTGGAGCCCTAAGAATTATCCCAGTGGGCAGCAGGTTAGATTAGGTAGAGGGAAGGAAGATTTTATTTATTAATCCTCCTAATAAAGCTCTCTGGGTGCTGTGCTCATCCCTGTGTGGTGTCCCTACCCTCCTGTCTCTAGGCAGCGCAGCTGTCCAGCCAGACAGTGAGTACCATCAGCCCAGGGGCTGCTCCAGGCCTGAGGTCAGAGCCTTCCTCTCAGCACCGGGGCATTGCTATGAATCTGGGCTCAGAGTGGAACCTGTGGACATGTCTCACTCTTTTTAATATATTTTAAAATTTCTGCTTGCCTACCCTGGAAACTTTGTCACTGAGGGTGACCATTTATAGAAAGAAATGCAGGTGACAAATGGCACTAGGATACCATTAGGAACACAGTTACAAAGCTGTCCATGCTGCAATGAGGCCTAGTGCCACATCAGTGGAATGGGGTGGTTGGCATATGTCTTCCCAGGCCACACTGAGCACAGTTGGCTTTGGAACACTCTGGTGATGCTTCTGGAAAATGAGCAAAGAGCTGGGCATGTTGGCCTACTCCTGTAGTCCCAGCAACTGGGGAGGCTGAGCAGGAGGTTTGCAAGTTCAAGGCCAGCCTGGGAGACTTAGCAAGAACCAGGCTCAAAATAAAAATATAAAGGGCTAGAGACATAGCTCAGTGGTAAAGTAACCTTGGGGTGAATCCCCAGTATAAAAATAAAACAAAACCAACTAACAAACCTGGCAAACCCAGATCCATCCTCTTCCATAGTTAGTTATGAATTCAGTCCAATTGTTATCCTTCAAAGAAATATAGCATCGGTCTAACACGGCTCAAGGCCTGAGTTTGAGGAGGAGAGGATGAAGAGCTGCTTCTCTGAATCAGGGCTTCCTTGGTCACTTTTGTATTGGAAACACAGGTCACTGAGTGCTGAGGAAGTCACAGGAATAAGTTCATAACTAATGACTAGTTTCGAGATTTGCAGACTCAGGTCCCTGAGCAGGTCCTGAGGCACTCATGTGAGACATCAGGTGGCTTCTTGCCTATGGACAGGACCTCAGACGGGTCCTTTGGTGTCTCCAGGTTTCTCATCACCATCCAGCACCTTCCAGAGCTGTTGCTAGGCAGCAAAAATCATGCAGGTTTGTATCAGCAAATGTTGACCTCCTGCCTGACATGCATCGAACACTTGGAGGGCACGATATGGAGGGTATCGCTGAAGAAGTGGAGTCACCCAGGACCCAGGAGCCTGGAAGTCCCTACAGGGGTTAGGGACTCTAGTCAGTGGCCACTTATCAAGAGATACTCAGCATCCTAATGCTGGCCTGAGCCCTTGGAGCCCCTCAGCTCTTGAATCCCCACCTGCCCTGTGAGGGAGTCCTAGTGAGAGGCCATTATGGGACAAGGCTCAGAAAGGAGTGTGGCTGTCCAAGGCACCAGGCTGGGGAAGAGGGGATAGAGCAGACTCCTCTAAGACATGCAGGACCATTAATATAATGTCCTTTTTCTGCTGAGCCTCACTGTCCCCTTCTGTAGAGAGTGATTGAAAGTATATCCTGCAAGATTAAGGTATCTAGCAAGATGAGGGGATGATTTTGGTGTGCAGTAGATGCCTAATAAATGACACTTGTGGCTGCTATTGTCACACCTTCTGAAACCACACACTCATTGTTTAGCAACAAATGCAGTGGGGACCCCAGGAAAGTTCTCCATCTTGTTCTTGGAGCTGCCAGGAGGACCCCTGTGAGAGGAGAGGCAGAAACCCACTAATGGTGGTGCACCACCTGTGTTCCTGCCCCCCCCCCAGAAACTGACAGTCTACCCAGGGCCTCAGGGTGCTCAGCAGGAACCAGCACTGAGCTGCACCCCCGCCCTCTCCCTGTGTTCTTAAGAGTCCCCACAGGAAACAAGGTGGCAAAGGGCTTCTCACATCATGAACAGCATCACAGGGGTTTCCTTTAAAGAAGCTATTTCCAGAAAGTGGAGTGACAAGTGCCAGATGCCTCAGTGGCATTTGGTGTCCTCAAGGCAGGAAGGGCTCTGTGCTGAGGAGCCAGGACTCATGGGCTCCAGCTCCTGTTCAGAGGCAGCCACATATCGGAAGTGTGTCTGCTGGTGGATCTGAGCGGGCTCTGTAGGGAGACCCTGCCCCAGGCCCCAGGGAGCTGAGCCCAAGCACGTGCTGTTCTGAAGCATCCACACCTGACAGGGCTCCCACGATGTCCTTCATGGGGTACCAGCTTTACCTGAGGAAGTACATCAGAACTTTCCCTATGTCTTCAAGATATCTAGCTCAGGATTTGTCAGCCTTTGCTGCGTGCGTATTAAAACCTTCGGGTGTAACTATTTTTAATTACTCAGATGCCCAGATTCAAGTCAGACCTTTTAATGCAAAATTTCTAGGTGAACCCTGGGTCTGGAAGTTTTTGTCTTCAGTTTCCCACATGATAACTCCACACAGCAAGTTGGGAGCCCCCAACCCCACCCACCACAACACTAAGAACAACAGCAACATCTCCACAGGAAGAAGTATTTTGCACTTGTTCAAACAACAGAGCAGCTCTGTGGGTCTTCTGGGGCATCTCCCTGTAGAAAGAGATTATAGCTGACCTTCAGGAGAGGTTTTCTAGTCACTGTGGCTTCAGGGTGTGAATGTGAGTGGCACCTGAACCTTGGGAAAGGGAGGAGGAGCAGAGACGCTGCTCCCTCCCAGTGGGTCAGGTCAGGGTCTGTGTTGAGCCCCTCCTGTGCCCTGGCTCCTCTGTGGGGACAGTGTCTATTCCCAGGGCAGCAGGAGCCTGGGCTGGAGTCAGGTCTGGGCTCTGTCCCCTCCTGGCATTAATATGCTGTGTGAGAGAGGGCCTGCTGGGCCTCCAGCTCCCCAGGTCCACAGGGGTGGGCACAGGTGTGAAGGTCCATGTGTGCTGACCACCTCAGCCTCATGGCTTAGGAGGGGCATGCAGGGCCTCTTGTAGGAACCACACAGTGAGCACCTGTGCTTCCTGAACTGGACCCCTGTGTCACCCACATGGAGAACACTTCCTGGTGAGTGACCCAGCTCTGCTCCTACCCTGTAGGGCCTGTGAGGGCTGGTCCCTGAGACACAGGGATTCACAGGCAGACCCAGGGCAAAGGCCCAACCTCTTGGCAGCTCCTCCACCAGGGCCCCAAGTCTACAGGGAACCTGAGCCTGTCAGAATCCTCTCAAGTGCTGTTCCAGGAGGGGAAGGAAGGAAAGATGCCCTCCCCCTCCCTGCTCTGGAGGCCTGGTCCTCAGGGAGGGACAGGAACAGTAGCCTGTGGGAGGAGAACTTTACCTGCTCTGCTCCTGGCTCTTTCCAGAGCATCCAGAGTGCAGATTGGCACACAGTGGGTCCTGGGTGCTGGTGGTATAAAGAGGACTCACCCCCACAGGGCAGTGCTCTCTGAAGGCAGCACACGTGGTCTGGCTCTGTGATTGGCAAGTCCCTCAAACCCTCAGAGCCCTCAGCTGGGGAGCCACAGGGCAGGCCAGACTGGAAAAGGTCAGGGCTGTGGAGCAGGCAGGTGAGGGGTGCAGGTGCCCCCCATTTACCAGCCATGGAGCCTGGACCACATAGCCTGGCCTCCACAGGCCTCTGCCTCCCTGACCTGCAGAAGGGGTGACCGCAGGTCATGACATGAGCACCCAGTGCTGCTCCTGCTTCTCAGCTGTGGCCCCCAGGATGGAGGGTGTGACCTCTGACCTCCTGTCCCACCCCAGGGAGGAGGAGGCAGCTGCACTCACCTCGCACAGACAACTCGGTGCCTGGTCCAGACTTGTACTCCTTATCAACAGGGGTCGATTTCTGGAACTTCACACAGTAGTAGGTGCCGGCGTCTGCTGGGGTGACATTACTGATGCGGATGGAAAAGTCCTTGTTGTCCCTCTTTGTGGTATCCGAGAGATCTGTGACTCGGGGGAAGTAGCCTCCGAAGTAGTTGTAGATCAGCTCCCGGCCTGGCCCTGCCCCCTTAAACCATTGGATGGGCCCCACAGGGAGCAGGGAGGTGACAGTGCAGTGCAGAGTGGCCGACTCTCCAGCAGCGACAGACACTGGCTTCTCAGGCTGGATCACCTGCAGCTCCTGTGCAGCCGCTCCTGGGGGAGACACAGGGTGGTCACTGCTCATCCTGGGGATCCCCTTGGTTTATCACGTGGTATCAGCAAAGCCTGTCACTGACTGAGTGCCCACAGAGTGGCCTTGAGCTCAGCACAGGGCGTGTCCTCACACTGAGCCTCCCCTGGCTGCACCTCCACACTGTGGGACACTTGCCCCTGAGGCCCAGAGCCCTGAGCAAGGTGGAGGGAGGGGACTTGAGAGCTGAGCCCTCCCCTGAGCTCTCATGTGTCACCAACTGTTTGTTGCCCCCTTTTTCTGACCACAAGGTCAGTGGCACTTTATGGACCAAGATATTGGGTTGGGTCATGTGGCTCTTGGGTCTCCTGAGTTTTGGGGAAGTGGTGGGTACAGTTAGTGGGACATGCATTTGACTGTGAGTCTTGGCTCAGCTCCCTGTTCCACAGAAATGCCAGCTCTTGTTTCAGGTCCCTCCTTCAGCCTGCAGTGATGATAGGACATTCCAACATGAACGCGCAGCTCAAGGATGAAAGAAAACAGTGCTGAAGCCCCTCGCATATCTCCCCACAGCACAACCACATTGTACTCTCCCTGGCTGACCCCAATGGCTCCACCATGTCGCACAGCCCTCTGTCCCGCTGGCTGTCTTGTGCCCTGGGTTGTGCAGCTCTCTGTCACTTTTCCAGAGAGGAAAATGCTCTCCAACTCAGAGTACTGCTCCCATCCCAACCCCAAGAATACCCACTGAGATACCAGCTCCTAGCCTTGACCCAGGCTGTAGAATCGTCCTACCATTGGAATCTGGAACACCAGACCCTGTGAATTGGCTCTTTACCAGTGCACTGTGTGGGAATGTGATTGGAGGAAGGACCCCTACTGGAGGGTGTGTAGTTCCATGAGGAGCTAAGTGTCCACTGCTGAGTGCTCCTGTGAGAGTCCAGGGGGCAGAGGGCCACACAACAGCTGGATGAGCCTGTTCACAGTGTCCACCACCTGGTGAGTGGCATTGATGAGAAAGGTAACTGGTTCTATTCCTTCTTGGCTCCACATGGTCCCCCTCCCAAGGACAGTCCTCTGTTACCCCCCCCAAATGTCCATGCTGCTCTGGGGGCAGCCCCTTCTCTGCTGCTTCCTGGATGCTGCTGTTCTCCACCTCCCACCCTGTCCATGGCTGCCATCAAGGTGATGGGTGGATCCTGGTACAAGGAGAACAGGGGAAGGAATAGTTTGAGCCCTCTCTCCTTCAGATGCCCAAAGATATAATTTGAGGTTATAAATCACCCTGGGCAATGTGCGAGGACTTTGAGGTGACAGGCTAAGAGTCTCTCCCTTTAAATTAAATAGTCTCACAAGGCACAGTGGCACCCAGAGGCTTGGGAGGCTGAGGCAAGAAGACCTCTAGTTCAAAGCCAGCTTCAGCAAAAGTGAGATACTAAGCAACTCAGTGAGTCCCTGCCTCTAAATATAATACAGAATAGGGCTGGGGTGTGGCTCAGTGGTGAGTGCCCCTGAGTTCAATCTCCAGTAACCACCCTCCACCCCCCCAAAAAAAGTTAAATGGTCAAAAATAAAGAATGTGTAAGACATACTTGTGTCCACTATTGCTCCTCAGGATGACAACCCCTGTCCCTGTGCATTAGTCAGCTTTGAATCCTGTGATCAAATACCTGACAAGATCAACTAAGGGAGGAAAGACTATTTGGGGCTCACCAGTTTCAGAGGCCAGTCTACTGTCAACTGGCACCATGTGGGACGTCCATGACAGGATGAAAGTCCATGGATGGAAGAAGGAGAAGAAGAAGGGGAAGGGGGAGGAGGAGTAGGAGAAGGAGAAAGAGGAAGGCAGTGGTGGTGGTAAGAGCAAGTGGACATGGAGATCCAGGGACAAAACACAGTCCTTGAGGACATGCCCCAGGGAACTACTTCCTTCAGACAGTCCACACCTGCACAGAGTTCCCACCACATTGTGACTGAATCTCTCTCCTGTTAGAATGGCCATCACCAAGAATCTAAAATATAAATGGTGGTGAGGATGTGGGAAAAGGAACTCTCACTAACGTTAGTGAAAATGTCAACTAGTACACCCACTATGTAAGTCAGGGTGGAGGTTTTTCAAGAAACTAAAAACACAACCAGTGTATGAGGAAATCTAGTACTGCTTGGTATCTATCTTAAAGAATTAAACTCAGTACAGAGTAGAGAAGTGTCGAGGCACATGCGTACATATTGTCATGGTTTAGACATGAGGAGACCCTCACCAGCTCATGTGAGACAATGCAAGAAATCAGTTTAGGATTGAAATGACTGGGTTATGAGAGCCTTCACCTAGGCCAGGTCTTAGTCCCCTCATAGGGATTAGCTGAGGGTGACTGCAAGCAGGTCTGGTGTGGCTCAAGGAAGTGTGTCCATGGAGGCATGCCTGTGGGGTCCATATGTGGTCCTTGTAGGGAGCTCTATCTCTCTCCCTCTCTGCTTCTTGGTGGCCATGTCCTGACCTGCTTATGCTGCTACATACACCTGGTATAATGTGTGCCTTGACCCTATCCCTGAGGAATGGAGACTCTATAGGAGGAGACCTCTGAAATTGTGAGCCCAAATTAATCATTTCCCTCCAATTATTCATGTCTAATCTTGGGATCATGGCAAAAAAAGATGAATTAGACATCCATGTTTATCACAGCACAATGCACAATAAGCAATTCATGGAATCACCTCAGTGTCTCTCAAATAATGAAGGCTAAAGAAACTGTGCTACATTTACACAGTAAATTTTTATTCAGCCCATTTTATTCAGGAGAAAGAATGTATCTGGAGAACATCATGTCAAGCAAAATAGACCAAACTCAGAGACACAAGTAATATTTTCTTCCATATGTGGAAAATAGGGGGAAAAAACAGGGCATCATGAAAGAGAAAGGGGGGAGGGAAACAGGGAGGGAGAAAAGAGGGTACAGAGAGGTATCAGGGGCATTAGGAGTGAATTTGATCACATTATGTTATACCCATGTATGGATATGCCACAGGGAAACCCATTATTTTGTAAAATTCATCTGTGCTCCACCCTCCAAAAAATATAAAATAAAATAGTAAAAAAAAAGAGGAACAAAGCCCCTGGCATTTTCCCAGCTGCTTTCCCAGGCAGAGGAGGAGGGGCTACCCTTTGCAGAGCAATGATGAGGGAAGTTCCAAGCTATGTCAGCGGCACAGCTGCTGGAAAGGTTCACAGCCAACACAGGCTTGAGGACAGTTAGGGAGCAGCCTGGGGTCCCCACACTAGATTTGCACTGGAAAAGGATCTCACATCATCTCCCCATCAACCCCAGAGCCCAGGCTGGGGTAGCTCGGTGCCATCTTACAAAGTGAGGTATTGTCTGAATTTGTACTGCTTTGTGGGGATCAAAAAAACCCACTGAATATCCCCCAATTTGGCACCCCACAGTTGATGAATGAGAATGGAATAAAATAAGAAATCAATGATTTTTTAAAAAAAGAAGCTACTCTAACACCTGGGGACAAAATATTACACTTTGAGTGACCAATGGATAGTAGGAGAAATAAGGGATGAAATTAAAAAAAAAAAAACTTAAGAGGTAAATGAGAATAGTAATACAACATATCAAAAGCTCTGGGACACTGTGAAGGCAGTGTACTCTACAACAAAAAGTACAAAATATGGAAAGAAAGAAATTGAATAAGACCTTAGAATGTGGAAAGATTCCCCCCATGTTCTTGGATAGGCAAAGCTACTACTGTCATGAAGAAAGTTCATTGCATTGAGCTCATTCATTAAAAGAATAGAAAGTCACAAAATGAATAACTTAATATTACATCTGAAGCCCTAGAAAACCAAGATAAAAATCAACACCAAACACAATGAAAGACAAAAAAATAATTAAAATAAGAGCTGAAATCAATAAAATTGAAAAAAAAAACAATTTTACACATTGAAAACACAAAAGATTGGTTCATTGAAAAAAGAGATAAATGTTTTAACTGCTAAGCCAAGCTAACCAAAAGAAAGAGAGAGAAAACTCAAATTATAAAAATTCGTGATGAAAAAGGAAATATCACCATGGACACTACTGAAATGCAGAAGATTATCAGAAACTGTTTTGAAAATATATATTCTAATAAAACATAAAATCTTAAAGACATTGACAAATTTTGAGACCCATATGATCTACCCAAAGTGAATCAGAAAGACATAGAAAAGTGAAACAGATCATTTTAAGTAATGGAATTGAAAAATGCCATCAAAAGTAGATCAACAGAGAAAAGCCCACACTGATGGATTCTCAGCCTAGTTGGAACAGATCTTTAAATAAGCACTAACACCAATGAACCTCAAATTATTCCATAAAATAGAAAAGGAGGGAAACCTTCCAAAGTCATTATAGGAGGCTGGTATCACCCTGATAACACAACTAGATAATGGCACATCAAAGAAAGAAAACTTCTTATCAATATCCCTGATGAACATAGCTGCAAAAATTCTTAATAAAATACTGATAAATAACATTAAAAAACATTAAAAAGATAATGTACCGTGATCATGTGAGGTTCATCCCAGGAATGCAAGGTTGGTTCAACATATGGAAATCAATAAACATAATTCATCATGTCAATAGACATAAAGACACGAATCACTTTATTATATCAATTGATACAGAAAAAAGCATTTGGCAAAATTTGGATCAATTCATATTCAAAACACTAAACAACTAGTGATAATGGGAACATACCTCAACATTTTCAAAGTTATATATGCAAAACACAAGGCTAATACCATTCTAAACAACGAAAAGCTGACAGCATTCCCTCTATAAACTGGAACAAGACAGGGATGCCCTCTCACCACTTTTATTCAACACCTTCCTTGAAACTCTAGCCAGAGCAATTAGACAGAAGAAAGGAGTTAAAGGGATACAGACAGGAAAAAAAGAACTCAAACCATCTCTCTTTGCCACTGACATGATTCTATATGTAGACGATCCAAAAAATTACACCTCTACAATGAAAAGTATTCTATAATGAAAAGTCCAAAATACGAAAGAAATAAATTGAATAAGACCTTAGAATGTGGAAAGATTCCCCCCACTTGCTTGGACAGGCAGAGCTAATACTGTCATGATGGCTCTACTACCAAAAGCACTATGCCTAATTAATGCAATACATATTATAATTCCAATAATGTTCTTCGTAGAAATAGAAAAAGGAGTTGTGAAATTTATATGAAAAAATAAGAATCCCAGAACAGAAAAATAATCCTCAGCAAGAAAAGTGAAGCAGGAGACATCACACCAGACCTTAAATTACACTACAGAACTAAAGTAACAAAAGCAGCATGGTTTCAGTACCAAAACAGACATGAAGACCAATGGTACAGATTGGAAGACAAACAGATGCACCCCCACACACAGTTCTCTCATACTAGACAAGGCACCATAAACCTACGCTGGAGAAAAGATAGTCTCTTCCCAAATGGTACTGGCAAAACTGGACAGCTGCATGTAGCAAATGACATTAAACTGCTGTCTCTATCTCTGTCCCAAACTCAACTCAAAGTGGATCAAGGACCTAGGATTACAGCAGAGACCTTGTGCCAACTAGAAGAAAAAATAGGCCCAACTCTAAATTATATCAGCTTAGGAATCAACTACCTCAACAAGACTCCTAAAGTGCAAGAAGTAAAAACAAAAATCATTAAATGGGATGATGTCAAACTGAAAAGCTTTTTCACAGCAAGGGGAACATCAGGAAGTTGAACAGAGATCCTACAGAATGGGAAAAAAATTTTGCCACTAGCATCTCAGACACAGCATCAATCTCAATGATATATAAAGAATTCAAAAAATTTAACACCAAAACAACAAACAAATAACCCAATCAATAAGTGGGAAAGGAATTGAAGAGTTGCTTCACAGAAGAAGAAATATAATCAGTCAACAAGTATATGATGTTCAACATCTCTATCAATTAGAGAAATGTAAATTAGTACTACAGTGAGATTCCATCTCACTCCAGTCAGAATGGCAATTATCAATAATACAGGTAACAGTAAAATGTTGGCAAGTATGTGGGGGGAAAAAGGTTCACTCAAAGATTCATGGTGGAACTGCAAATTGGTGCAACCACTATGGAAAGCAGTATAAAGATTTCTCAGAAAACTGGGAATGGAATCACCATTTGATCAAGCTAACACAATTCACTGTTTATACCCTAAGAACATTTAATCATCAACTACAGTGACACGGCCACAGCAATGTTTAAAACAGCTTAATTCACAATAGCTAAGCTATGGAACCAACCTAGGTGTCCTTAAACAAATAAGTGGATAAAGAAAATATGGTGTATATACATAATAGAATATTACTCAGTCATAAACAAAAATGAAAATATGACATTTGCCAGTAAATGGATGAAACTATCATGCTAAGTGTAATAAGCCAGTCTGAAAGAAAAACCAAAGGCCAAATCTTGTCTCTGATATGCAGAGGCTACCACACAACAACAGAGCATGATAAGGAAAGAATACAAATTCACTGCATTTCACAAAGAGAAATAAAAGGAAGGGAGTGGGGATAGGAATAGAAAAGTCAGAATGAATCAAACATGAATGTCCTATATTCATATATAAATGCACAACCAGTGTAACCCCACAGCATGCACAACCACAAGAATGGGAAGTCATACTCCATGTATGTATAATATGTCAAAATACATTCTACTGCCATGTATAACTAAAAAGAACAAATTTTAAAAATGTTTTAAAGGACCAACACACACCCCTGTTATCCCATTTAAGCAGCAGACAGAAATTCCCCTTGGAGTCCCTGGACCACTCACCAGGATCATAAACTGCCCCATGGCTTTGGGAAATTCTTCCCCTCATGGACTTGTCTACACATCATGAAAACAACAGTTGTCTGCTGACCCCTTGGTTCTCTAGGACTTAGATGCTCCATGAACACTGATCGTCTCAACTGCTCCCACAGCTACGAAAGCATCATCAGGAGAAGATAAAGCAAAACCTAGACCATCTGGCCTTTCCCACTGGCAGGATGGGGTGACTTCCCTAGGCTTAGACCCTTACCCAAAGCCTGGGTATCTCAGGGGTCACCTCCCACCAGGCCCCTTGGCTAGCTGGACCCCTAAGAATTAACCTAGTGGACGTAATGGAAACCCGTGGACTGTAGGAATGGCCTAGCCTCCCGTCATACACCTGGAACTCAGTGGGATGTGGCTGCCTCCACCCCTTAACCAGAGCCTCCCTCTAAAGCATGGGACCAAGGACAACACACCTGGCCACAGCCCAGGCAGCCTCCTGAGCTCAGGGCAATTCACCTCTCTGCTCCATGCAGGGAAGTGGCTCCCATTTCACTCACAGTGAGAGGAAGTCCCTTGAACACAGCAGGGACATGTGCTCTCACGTCCTGTGACATGGGGTTTCTCTATCAGGAAGCCCTTCTGCCAGAAAACCTCATGGCCACTCCTGCCCCTCCTCTAAATCTCTGCTCAAATTCCCTTCTCAGTGATGCCCGCCCAGACCACCCCATTGGCAGCACCTCTCCCACTGATTCTCCAATTCTCTTATCCCGCTGATAGTTTTTAAGTCGCACTGATCACTGTTCAATATGTGATATGATTTACCTCTTTGTTGTGTGTTGCTCACCATCCTTGTCCCTAGAGGTACCTTAGCTACACAGGGCAAATCCTTTGCTTCTTTTATGCTAAATTGACTGCAGTTTTCTGTAACACTTCCTGCACACAGTAGGTGTACACTCAGTGTGTACTTAGCATGTGAATTGCTCAGTGCCACATCCCCTGCATCGCAGAAGTGGATTTGCAGTGGATACATTTTGTAGAAATGGGCACAATTTCAGTTTCCCACAAGAATACTTAGCAAAACAAGAACTGTTTGCAGAAATAGTCAGGAAGTAGAAGAGCCCAGGAGAAGAAAAACCACAAACCCTTTTCTTCTACCACACCCACTGGCAGAAGCTGTACAAAGTGTGTAAATCAATGTATATATGCATTGTTTACTAACTTCATATACAAATTTAAACCAGGCACCCCTCTTATTGTCTTCAAATATAAATATAATAAAAGAAATAAGATCCAAATCCTCTTGGGGTCTCTAGTCCCCCCATGATGAGCTTGAGATGCCCAGGTCTTTGGAAGCAGACGTCTGACCCCATGATGTCGTGCTACACACCAGTAAAACAGTGTCTGGCCACATGTAGGGTCAGGGCCACAGAGTTTGAGAAGATGGGGGGTGAACCACGAGCTCCAGGTCAGAGCATCTGCACCCAAACCCCAGCCCTCGCACTGCCCCTGAACGACCACGGAGCTCTTGGTGCTTCTGCTTCTTAGCTGTAAGGTGGGTGGCCAGGGTGTCTGCTGTGGGTGTCATAGTCACGTGACGAGATGTACAGCATTTCAAGAGAGTCTGGCCCATGGTGAGTGTTCAAAAAATTGAAAGTCATAACTCAGTAGATTACCTGAGGCCCAGAACCTTCCACTGCCCCCTATGATGTAGATAAGGGTAAGGACATCGTCACAGCCTGTGTCAGTCAACTCTTCATTACTGTAAGTAATACCTGAGACAAATCCACTTATGAAGAGAAAATCAGGATGAGCTCACAGTTTTAGAGGTTTCAGTTCAGCATTGATTGTCCCCAAGGCTATTGGGTCTGTGGGAGGCAGCAAATCTATGAAGGGGAAGGTATGATGGGACAAAGCCATGTACCTCCAGGCCAGAGTATGAGAGAGAGAGAGAGAGAGAGAGAGAGAGAGAGAGAGAGAGAGAGATTGATTGCTCCATGGCCTTGAGGAGGTCACCTCATCTTTGGTGTCTCAGAAATTATCAGGATATAAACATTGATCTTCTAGAAATGTATTCTGTGAACTAAAATATTACAACATGCAGGTGATTCTTGTCACTGCTGTTTGAAGCATCAGCTGATGTGACGCCTCTGGCCCCAGCTGCAGGGGAGGCCTCCCAGAGACAGAGCTCAGGACCCTTGGTCTGGGCTCCAGAGAATGCCCTGTCCCAGCCTCCATGGCAGAGCCTGTGCTTGTCCTGAGTCCCTGGAGTCCAGGGCAGAGCTGACCCAGGGGCCAGGACAGAGGACTCTCCCCAGACAGTGCTCACTCACCTGTGAGTCCCAGCAGAAGGGTCAGCAGCAGGACAGGACAGGGACGCTGGGGCTGGGAGGCAGGTGCAGACATGGCGGAGCTCTGAGGAGCCTGCTCTGTCCCAGGGTCTGTGCTGGGGAGATCCCTGACTCTGCTCTCTGGAAGGAATTGACACTCTGCCTCCCTTGTTGCAGGAGGAAGTGACAGTGACAGAGTGACAAGCAATTTCCTTCAAAATTGTGAAATAGAAACCAGGAGCACAGACAGCGAAAGTTAAAGGTCTCTCATGCTGCATTTCAGAAGGAATTGGACAGGCCTCCTTCCCCTGAGCCTGCTCTAGTCCACTAGGCCCTTCATGGTTTCCTGGGTCTTAGAGACAGGAGTCACAGGACAGGCAGGATGTGCCCCAGACTCCTGACCCTGAGACCCTGGTGTGGCTGGCTGGTGGCCAACTCTGGAGCAGCTACACACAGAGCTACTCAGCTGGAGGGAGGAGGGGTCCTGGGGTCTGCTCAGTGTTGGGGAGGAACTGGTCACCTCCTGCCATGGCCAAAAACTGCAAACCTTTTTTTCTGTAAAGGATCATAGTTCCCCATAACAGTTGGGTGCATCCTGACAAAACCATACGTGCATGAAATTAGGGATCCATTCTGGGTCTCCCTTTTCCTCTCCCCTGCTCACCCCACACCCTCCTCCTTCCTAATTTCCACTAGACTTTCTTTTGCTCATGTCTTCGTTTATTTTTCTTTGGTTCTTTTGATTTTTACCTAAATGTGAAATTCCCTGTGGTGTATTTATATTACACTTAACACAATTTTAAAAGAATTCCTTCTGCATTTCCTTCCCTTTTCCATCCCTCCTCTTTGACTCTTGCTCTCCTTCTCTTCTACTGACCTTTCCCACATCTGTGTGGTATCCTGTCCTTCTCTCCTTCTTTCCTTATTACACTCTAGTGTACAGAGCTGAGAGAAAACATTAGACCTTTGACTTTCTGAGTGTGACTTCTTTACGTAGCATGATGTTCTCATGTCCATCAACTTACTGTCAAATGCCATGATGTCATTCTTCTTTGTGGCTGAGTAGAACAGGAAGTGACCGTGATGGAGTGAGAAGCAATTTCCTTCAAATTGTGAAGTAGAAACCAGGGAGCACAGTCAAAAATCACAGTATCTTAGTCCATTTATCTATTGACAGGCCCTGATTGACTCCATAATTTAGCTATTGTGAATTGTGCTGCTACAAACCTCTATCTGGCTCCATCCCTGTAGGATGTTAATTTCAGATCTTTTGTAAAAACACCAAGGAGTGGGATGGCGGGGGGATGTGGTGGTTCCATTCCTAGTTATTTGATGACTCTCCACTCTGCTTTCCTGAATGGTTGCCTTCATTTGCAGTCCCACCGACAATGGATGAGTGTGCATTTTCCAGTCATCATCGCCAACACTTATCATCTGTAATCCTGGCATTTGCCGTCTGACTGGAGTGAGATGAAGCTGTATTGTAGTGTTGATTTGCATTTCCCTGAGGACTAGGTATGTTGAGATTTTTTTCATATAAATATTGGCCATTTTTGTTTCTTCTTTTGAGATGTTTTTATCTTTTTTTGTCTCTTTGGTTTTGTGGGGGTTGTTGTTATTGTGATTTAGGTTGAATGTACTGGAGCTCTGTGAAGATTCTGAATACTAACCCCCTGTTGGGGGAGTGACTGGCAATGATCCTCTCTTCATCATTTCCTTGCTGTGCACCAGATGTTAACTGACAGCATCCTCCTTACTGATTCTTGGTTTTCTTTCTTGCACTTTGGGAGTTTCATTAAAGAAGCTGTCACCAGAACCTACATGAGGGACTGTTGGCCTTAGTTTACTTTAGCATTTGCAAGATTTCAGGACTAATTCCTAAGTCTTTGGTCCATTTTGATTTGATTTTTGTGCAGGTTAGAGATGTGGATCTATTTCCACTTTTCTACATATATCTAGCACCCAGTTTTCCCAGCAACATTTGGTAAAGAGGCTTTCTAACAAAGTGTCTCTTTAGCACTTGTGTCAAATATCAGATAGCTGTGAGTATGTGGGTTTGTCTCTGTGTCTTCTATGATTTTACACTGGTCCTATGTCTATTTGTTGCCAATGCCATGATGTTTTTGTTACTGTAGCTCTATAGTATAATTCCAGGTCAGGTACTTGGATGCCTTCTGAATCATTTCTCTTGCTCAGTATAGATTTGGCTATTCTGGATCTGTTATTCTTACAAATGAATTAAAGAATTGTTTTTTTCTGATTCTGTAAGGAATGTTATTGTCATTTTGATGGGGATTGCATTGAATCCGTATATTGCTTTTGGTAGTAAGGCCTTTTTGAGATATTAATTCTTCCTATGCAAGAACAGGGGATGTCTTTCCATTTTCAATCATTTCCTTCTTCCGTGATCTATAATTTTCAATGAAAAGCTCTTTTACCTCATTGGTTGGATTAGTTCCCATGACTTTTTTATTTTGAGGTTTATAAATGGGTGTTTTTTTCTGATTTGTTCTTTGACTAAATCATTATTGGTGTATTCGAAAGCAATTGATTTATGGGTATAGATCTTGTGTCCGGCTCCTTTGCTGAATTGATTTACAATCTCTAGAAATCATCTGTTGGAGTTTTTGGGTCCTCTAGTTATAGGATTATGTCATTCACAAGCAGATAGCTTCATTTTTTCCTATTTGTATCCTTAATTTTCATCTCTTGTTGGATTGCTGTTTCTGGTGTGGCTATAGCTAACTATATTGAAGTAGAGTGAGTGGACAACCTTGTCTTGTACTTAATATTAGATGAAGTGCACTTAATTTTTCTCCATTCAGAATGAAGTGAGATGTGGTTTTATAATTCATAGCCTTTATAATGCTGAGGCAAGGTTCTTCCATGCTCACCTTCTACAGCATGAAGGGATGCTGGGTTTAGCTTTGATACACCTCTGTTCTCATTTGTTCTCATTTGATTTCTACCTTATTTCCTCTTTGGCCCATTCTTTTTAAAGAATAGGCAACCAAGATGAAAGTACAGCGAGGAAAGGAAAGGTGACAATACTGGAAGTGAAACTAAACTGGCCACAAGTGGGTCAGAACAGAAGTAGCTGGCATGATGTGTGGACACGGATCCCACATGGGGACTTTCCTTTGGCTTCACCTAGTGAAGGTGACGTTAACCATATACATGGGGACGTGGTGGTGCCCAAAAGGGTGATGGTTATAAAGGGGGCTGATAATTGACCAAGGCAGAAAAGACGCTTGCTTCGCAACTTCTATTAATAAGAACCAGGCTGACATGGCTGAAACTCCTCTGGTAAGTTGTTACAAAGCAATAAAACACTGATGCTCAGTGCTTCTTATGTTTCAAATTACTGTACACCAAGCACTCAATTTATTAGTGTTTACATTCCCTATACATTTAAACTGACATTAACTAATGTTTTCACACTGTAAAGGTGGAAGAACGATCATAATTATTTTAATCATTATGGAGATGGCTTCCCAGGGTTTGAGTTTGCACAGTCGTTTGTACAATCCTGCTCTTCCATGGAGAGTGGTGACTGCCTTTGTTCAGGACAATATGCTGCTCATAAGTGCTAAGGAAGAAAAATCTCTCAGGTGGAGGAGAACTTTTCTTTCTTGGGGTTTGAGGCATATGACCTAAGTAAAGAGGAGAGAGAATGATTACTCTTATTAAACCAGAATGAGTTTCCTTTGAGGAGCTCAACAAGGCTGGAGAGAAGTCATAGGCAGAAAAAAGAAATCAAAATGAATCTTGAGAGTGATGACTTGGGGGCGTTTGATGGCCAAACCCAAGGCAATGAGGAGAGCCATTGTGACATGTTCAGATCGGGTTTCCTTGTCACATTGTGGGGGGTGTCATGAGTTGGTGCCCAGAGGCAGGTGCCAGCCCCCTGCACAGCACCATGAGTGCAGACTGAGTCGTGAGGCATCGAGGACTGGGCAGAGGAGCAACAGGGGCCTGTGGGCTGGTGTCCTGGGAGGAGGCATTTGAGCAGAGGCTACAGAGGCTTCTCGGCAGCTCCTTCTCTCAGGCTGAGCACCGTGGAGCAGGAAGAAGGTGGCAGAGACTGAGGGTCCCAGGCAGCAGGGAGTGATGAAGAATCTGTGGGAAACATGTGCACATTCAGGTATCTGCTCACCTTTATGACACATCTCCTGAGAGCTGGGAGGTTCTGGTTGGCCCTCCTTGGATGTCTGTCTTGAGGGAACCCACAGTCCCAGGACAGTCTCAGCTCAGCCTCTCCTGTGTCTGACTGCCCTTCCCTCTCCCTGCAGCTTGGCCACACTAAAGGTCAGAAGGGAGCAGCCCTGAGCAGCCCATCTAGAACTTCTCAACATTGCTGCATATGGTAGACCCTTCCTGCCCATGGAGGCCTCTCACTGGACTACTGGACTAATCTTGGGGTGGTCTCCAAGGGACACGCCAAATCTGCTGACCTTCATTGCACCACTTTGGCTCATCATCTCTGGAGCCCCATGCCTCAGTGGACACTCGTGCCAAGCCTTGACCTCCTCATCTCCTGCATACCACACACACTTCCTGGGAGCTGGGACCCACAGAAGTTATATGAGATCCTGAGGGTGCCAAGGGGTGTGTGCCTGGTTCTCTAGACCCACTGACTCTGCAGCTGTGCACAGGTGGGCTGCACTCCCCCTGCCCCCGCCCTCTGCAGCAGTCTGGGTGCACCCTCCCTCCTGGGGACTTACAATCAGAACTTCTTCTTCCTCTGGATGTAGGTGGCAGAGACACTGACTGCCAGCAGGATCTTGAGGCCAAATAACAGGACTACAAGGTATAGAGCAAGATGATAATTCACACTTCCTGAAATCAAGGGACAGGAGGAGCCATTAGAAGGGATCCTGGGAGTCCATGCACACCAAGAAGCCTGCACTTGTCCTAGCTGAGGCTCCCTGGGTCCACACCCTCCCTGTCCTGAGTGGCCTTGTCAATCCCAAGGCAGAAGCCTGGCTTATTCCTTATCCCCACTCACCCAACCTCTGGTCCCAGGGTGTTCTCACTAAAGGGAGGTGAAAACATGGGCTCCATGCACATTGCCCACCCAGCCATGCTGGTCCCTCCTGGATCCTCACCATCCCATGTAGAGGGATTACCATTTCCTCCTCATGA